GTGCTGTTGCAGTCGTTTTTGGATAATCTTCAGTAAAATCTTGCTTGCATGTGAAATCAGTGAGATTGTTCTGTAGTTTCCACATTCTGTTGGGTCACCTTTGTTTGGGATAGGGATAAATATCGATCTCTTCCATTCAGTTGGCCAAATGATCTTATATAGTATTTGTTATTATGGACCAAGCTAGTTTACTTAGTGTAATTCTAACCTTTTTTTTTTTAAGCCTGAAGGGATAGCCAAACTGACAAGGTTTCTGGTTATGGCTCCATTGACTTTATTTGCAATGTCTTACATGCACAACAGTTCCAGGAACATTATTTGCATTAATATCACACTATCTTATCCACTTGTCTGGCCACAAAAGTTTATTTGAGTTGTTGTTGTTGTTGTTGTTAGATATCATTGAGTCAAGTATGACTCAGTGACTCTATGAACAACAGATCTGATACCTACCTTATCCTGTGCTATCTTCACAATTTCTGACACATTCAAGCTTATTGCTGCAATCACAGTGCTGGTACATCTGATTGAGGCTCTTTCTCTCCTTTACTGCCCTCCACCTTTCCAAGCATCATGTCCCTCTCCAAGGAATAGCATCACTTAGAAATATGCTCCAAGTAGGGAGCTCTGATGACCTAGTGGCGAGAAGCTACACTGCAATCCCAGAAGAGTGTGGTTTGAATCCACCAGATGATTTGCTGAAGAATGAGGAACAATCTCCTCCTGTACCAGTCAGATCGGATTTGACTACACACACACACACACACACAAATTAAAAAATGCTCTAAGTATATTAGATGAAGTTTTATCACCTTTGCCTCCAAGGAGCACTCTTGGTGCATTTTCTCCAAGAAATATCCATGGGATGTTCAGTACTCTCTCCAGTACCAAAGTTCAAAGGCACCAATTCTTCGTCTGTCACCCTTAGTCATTATATAAAACTCAGATGCATAGTGTCTTTAAAGACAACGGCCTGATTTAGGCACACCTTAGTCCTCAAACTGATATTGTTATTCCTCAACAATCATGCAAACCTAGAGTAAGTAATTAACTGTGCTACAGGAGTATAAACACTCATCCTAGGGATATCATACAAGCTTAGAGTCAGAGAAAGTTTCCTCAACAAGATTACATTTAAATGAAGACAAACTAGTTGTCATCAAGTCAATTATCAATCACAAGCAACCATGTACATTAGTATAAATTTAATTAACTATGCAACATAAAGCATATGAGTACCCTAAAATAAAAATTGAGAGGAAAGATGTAGACATCCACAATGTTTCAGCATCGTCTTTTGTTACACAAAAGCCTGACTACTTCTCTGGTGTTTAGCAGGGAAAGTTGCAGTGCTGCACCTTGGCAGGGGTGTACAGCATTAAAGCTCTACCACCTGACTTTGGCTCATGTTTATCTCTTTGGTGTTTCAGTCTCTAGTTCGGATATTGGAAACCCCCAAGGGCCGTGCTGCTTTCAGAGTCTCCAGTGGATTCAATGGGCTGCTGTCTTTGCTTTCTGATCTGGAAGGAACTCTCCAAGAACCACCTCTACAGACGTGGGGACCAGTCTCTCCCACTGAGACTCTGGACCTAATCCTCCACACCCTCTGTGCTATGTCTGTGGCGCTGCACCTGGACCCTGTCAACACTGACTTCTTCCAGAGGAATGGGCTGTTTGAGAAGCTGGCTGAGGACATCCACCTGCTGGGCTGTTTTGGAGTCCTGGAGGAAGGGTGGGAACCACTTCAGTCCTGGACAGAAACAAAACACAGGCCATTTGCTGATTTGCAGAGAGCTGCCTTTTTATCAATCAGCCCTTTTCCATCCAGGATCCAGAATTGCCTCCAGATCCTCAGCTTTCTGGACAGCATGGCCAGCAGTACCCTTCACATTCGGTGGGACCTGACTGAGTCCTTGAGGGCTAGCCTGAAGCCAGCTGTGGATGCTCCTAAGGGAGAAGCCTTCAGTATCTCCAGAGACCAGGAGGAAAGGTAGAGCTTTTATATTTCCTTCTGAAATCTTTCTCATATTTTGTACTCTATCACACTGTGATAGAAGCTGAGCCTACAAACTTGGGTATATAGACATAAGACATGAGTGAGTATTTAAACTCCCTTGTCCTGGGAGCTGAAAGAAAAGTCAATCTGATTCAATATAGGGCTGAAGAGTGCAATTAGTTCCATAAGAAACCAAAGGGCTTAAATGCAACCCAGACACTCAGACATGTGCCTTGCTCACTTCGTGTGTTGAGATCTTTGCTGATGCTGATTGTTTTGTTTCCTGAGGTGAGCTTCTCTGGGTGTTCCTTATAGTCGGCTCCTTCCATGGCCAATCCAGTCACTACTAAGGAACAAGGTCAGGTCTTGTGACTTTCAGAACACAAATCTCAGTATTCTTTCCAATCATGAGGGTGGCGTGACTAACCCTATTCTTTCTGCTTTCAATTCCCCTAACTCCTCTACTTCTGCAAATCAGTCTCTTCAATGCACTTAGACTTTCCTGAACAACTTTATACTCTCAACTCTGTACTCAGAATTCCACATTAGTAGGGGAAGGAAAAAATGCTTTTAACACAGTGAATTACATGTTGGGCTGCTAACCAAAAGGTGTAGCTTCTTTCCAGTAGCTGCCCCTCTGCTGAAAGAGGAGGCAATCTGTTCCCGTAAAGGCTTATAACCTCCAAAAACCCATGGCACTGGGTATGACTTGTTTTGTAAGGGAAGACAAGGAACAATCTTTCTCCCCTTGGGTTGGAAAGGAAAAGATAAGAACAGTAATAATTGGCATCTTTATTTGATCCTCTAAAGCAACAAAGAAATTATTGTTAAATGCCGTCGAGTTGTAGATGACTCATAGCGACCCTGTGAACAAAAGACCTGAACACTTGTATAACTTTCTTCATTTCTCCAAGTTTATAGGGTTTCCAGAAGCAATTAGTATTACAAAAATTATACTATCTTGCAACAATGAATGAATGAAAACCCAAAATCTCTGTAAATGTTCATTAAAATTAATAAAATTTAGTAAGTAAAGAAAATGATACTATCTATGCCTTTTCTTGTCATATGGTCTTTGAAACGGCAGTGAACTTTTCTGCCATGAATTTTGCATGTTTTTGCCGAAGAGGTCTCAATTTCCAGTGTTCATTGTTAGAGGCTGGTCAGGCTGCATATCAATGTCAAATCTATAAAATAACAACACCTTTCTATATTTAACTAGTTCACTTGATAAACTATTTTCTAACTTTAAATTCCTGCATAAACCAACTTGCTCCAATATCTTTATTGCTGGATTAGAGTTGTTACTTTTTTTTTTTTTTAAAGGACTTAACCCTTTCCTTTTTTCTTTAGGTTATGCCAGGGCCATTTTATTTTCCATTAATGTTATGTATACCTTATAAGAAACAATTTATGGTACATTTTAAATATCACTGAATTTTTAAATCTCTTCCAAGGACTTTATTCTTTTAACCTAGGTGATTATAAAGTAAAGGTCCATTTCTTATTTATTTATTTTAACTTTCTGTTGTGTTTTCTAAATTGTGCACTTTTATTATTATCATACTGGTTTATTTACAAAGTTCAAATACATTGTTTTTCACAGAGGAACTTTTGCATTTCCTTCATACCCCCCTACTCAAATTGTATGACCCTATGATTAGCATCCCTTCCCCCCAGCCACCAATCCTCACCCTTCTGGTTCCACTCTCCCCTCCCCCCTTGGATCCTCATATTCATTCTACAATAATGGTTTTATACAGTATTTGTCCTTGAGGGACTGAGCTGGTTCACGCAGCATAAGGCTCTCCAATTCCTCCCAAGTTAGGTAGTAATTTACAAAGTCATTGCTCCTGCATATTGCATAGAACTCCATTGTGTGAATGTACCATAATTTCTCAATCTATTTAATTGTCATTGGACATGTGGGCTGTTTCTACATTCTTGCGATGGTGAATAATGCTTCTGTGAACATTGGTATACAAGTCTCTATTTGTGCCTCATTTCTCATTTTCTCAGGGTATATTCCAAACAGAATATGTGTCATATGGTATTTTTATGTTCAGCTTTTTGAGGAAGCACCAACCTGCCTTCCAGAGTGATTGTGCCATTTTCAGTCACCTTAATTGACTTAGACTTTCCTGAACAACTTTTTACTCTCAACTCTGTACTCAGAATTTCACATTGGTAGGGGAAGGAAAAACTGCTTTGGTGACACAGTGAATTATATGTTGAGCCGCTAAACAAAAGCTATAGCTTGACTCCAGTAGCTGCTTCTCTGCTGAAAGAGGAGGCAGTCTGTTCCCATGAAGGCTTATAGCCTCCAAAAGCCCATGGCGGTGGATACTTGCCACATGGACTTGGTGACAGAAATGGAGCTGGAGAGAGAATGATCAAATTTTGCAGAATCAATGACTTATTTATAGCAAATACATTTTTTAAGAGACATAAACGCAGGTTATATACTTGGATTTCACCTGATGGTACGCATAGGCATCAGATCGATTACATCTGTGGAAAGAACCGCTGCAGAAGCTCAATATCAGCTGCGAAAACTAGGCCAGGAGCTGATTGTGGAACAGACCACCAACTACTCATATGCAAATTCAAGCTGAAGTTGAGGAAAATTACACCAAATCCAAGGCAACCAAAATATGACTTT